AATGTACAAATGCACTTTACACAATTGATGTATGTATGGATTGTGATAAGAGTTGTATGAGCCCCTAATAAAATGATTAATAAAAAAAAAGAAAGGAACATCGTGAAACAGTGCAGTGTGGTAGATGGTGTGAAGGTTATAGTGACAAAACACCAGAGAGCAGCAGACATCTGTGAGTCAGCATTTCCTTCCTTTTGTGATTAGCTGTATAAGCCAGAAATCTCACCCCCCACTTCCCTGTTTACCTAATTTGCTTTTGTCTCAATGGAACAGATTCAGAAAGGCATCCGTTGAGAAATAAGTATGTGTTGAGATACATATTATATTTTCTTGTGGGTGTTTTAAAAATTGCAGTTTATATACTCCAAACTTTATAGATGGAGCTAAAAGACTTTGATTATGAAATATTGGCTGTATGATTGGAAAATTCAAAGAATTGAAGTGATTTCTATTCTCGTAACTGTTGTTGGAGATCGTTGACTTAATGTAATCTTAACTGCTTTTAAGGGGAAAAAATGTTCCTTCTGGGTATTTTAAACGATGGGGAAAAGGAAAATAAGATAAATGAAAACTGAAAGTGAGGATATATTGACAGAGTACCAAACTAGTGTCTAAAGCAAATTAAAAAATTTAAGCTTGGCTGGCAGTATAATTTTTTTCCCTAACTTATTTTATTTGATATGAAATGAGTAAAGCAACAAGGTTTTTAGCAAACTATGGCTTGTGAGCCAAATCTGGCCAGCCACCTTTTTTTTATATAGCTCTGAGCTAAGAATGCATATTATATTTTTAAAGGGTTAAAAATTGACATTTTTTAATATATGAAAGTTATATGAAATTCAAATAAAGTTTTATTGGCACACAGCATTGCGAAGCTTTGTGTGTATTCTCTGACACCCTTTGTACTATAACAGCAGAATTCAGTAGTTACAGAGACTGTGATCTTGAAGGTGTAATATATTAACTTTGTGGCCATTTATAAAAAAATGTTTACTGGCTACGGGTGTAGTCTAATTCATATTTAATTTTACTTGGTGTCTAATCCTGAGGAAATAATTTTCTCCTTAAGAGATTTTTCTTTACTGGCAAACTCCAGATCACAGTTGCTCTCAAGCCCAGGTTGAAAACTTGATTTTCAGTGTTATTTTTTGATACTGACCACTCAAAGACATCTGTAGACACCGGTACCCCTGTGATCCGGCGAGGATGCCTGTAAGGCACAGGATGCTTTGATGATTACACTGGATCACTTGCCCCTTTCCTATGTTGATATTTATACAATGATGGGGTAAAAGGAAACGTGGGCACTACTGTAATGCCTTAGCCAGAATCACACTCTGCCAATCATCACTGAGTGCATTTGCAGTAAAATGCAACACTGAATGTCTTCATGAAGCTCTTAGTAAGTCTCAACCCCCACTCCCCTTTCTTTCACTTTTTAAAAATCTCTTTCATGTGGGGAAATGGGAACTACAAATCACTTCCATATACTGAACTTCCATGTTTGTCTTGAGGAAAAGCACGTAGATAGCTGTTTGAACCAAGTCGAGCGGTTTTCCTTGGAACACCATGACTGTTATCAGACTTGGGTATTTGGCAAATATTCTATCAAAAGTGAATTAAGTGAGCTGACACTTCAAGGACAATAACTGTCAGTATTTGCCACTAATGATAAAATCTGAGCTTTCAACCTAAAATTAGGATTTTGGAAAACTTGCACTTGTTTTTTCAAGCTTGACAGTTTTCTAATACTTAGAAAGTAATTTTTTGATGGATGGGTAGTAATAAACATTTTTGAGGAGGTGATGTTGTATAATGTGTCAACATTGGGAAGATCTGGGTGACCCAGGGAACCATTATTTTCAAAATTACCAGTGGTTGGTGTTACAAGCTCATGTGTTGATACAAGATTGATTCAAAGTTTAAGGTAAACCAATGAATTGTAACAGAATATGAAAATATTGATAAGATTTTGCATTCCATATTGCAACTAGGTTTTAAGGAATTACGCTTTGCTGAATTTTGGTGGTATATCAAAGAACAATATCCCGTTATCTGAAAAGGCTGAAATACGCATCCTTTTTCACTTGCATATCTGTGTGGTATTTTCTTCATGTCTCCCAACCAAAACAACATATGGCAGCAGGCTGGATGCAGAAGCTGCTCTAGCCATCTTCTGTTCAGCCGAACATGCATGACATGGGCAGAAAAGTCAAACAGTGCCACTTTTATTATGAAATGTTTGTCTGAAAATATAGTTATTCATAAAAATTATTTTTAACATATGGGCTTTAAGATTTTCTTTTTAAATGATTTACAGTTTTAAAAAGTTCTCAGTTTCAAATGTGATAAATATTAGTTGCCGTCACAGTTGTAAGCTGAAAAGCTCTGTGGTGTCCGTAGCCAGCTGTCGAGGTGTAAAGGTAGTTCGGAGTGAAAGCCTTTGATAACCGTGGGTGTAGGTCGTGCTCCTTCATTACTGTGAAGTCAGTTACATGCAATGAGAGAAGTTGACACTGCTTAATGGTCCAGTAATAGTTACTGATCACTTTTGCTAGAAAGCAAAGGCACAAATACAGATCAAGTTCTCTCCCAACGCTTTGGAACTGGCTGAAGTATTGAAAATTCCTAAAAGTTCTGCCCTTTAAAACCCAGCAAACCACAAAACAGCATACCTTTTTTTCCAAATATGGATGATTTTCTAAAAAGGCAATCATGAATATGCATTGTGCAGGCATTTTTATGATAGTTACAACAGTCTATTTTGCTTCATACTTATAACTCCCTCATGTAAAAGCTCTGCAAAACAGATAGTTCAAGTTCACCAATTGCTCTGTGGGAGAGAGTAAAGGTTTACAGTCTTGGAAACCTCAAGGGGAGGTTTAATTGCGCCCTATAGCAGTGTTCTCAACCTGTGGGTTGTGACCACTATGGGGGTCAAACGACCCTTTTACAGGGCTCACCAATTCATAACCGTAGCAAAATTACAGTTATGAAGTAGCAACGAAAATAATGTTATGGTTGGGGTGTCACCACCACCTGAGGAACTGGATTAAAGGGTTGCGGCATGAGGAAGGTTGAGAACCACTGTCCTTTAGGGTCACTGAGTCAGAATCGAATGGGTGACGATGAGCTGTGGTTCACACAGGGAGTTTTAAGAACAGATTCAAACTCTTTTTTGTCTAACTCCCACGTGCTTGCCCTTTGTCATTTATTGTAATGCTGTTTACAGCAGCTGGGAGTATAGCAACCGTTTTCTATCAGCGCTTTACAAGATTTTGTAGTATAGGCTCTCTCTCTTTTGTTGTCGAAAATAAGGCCAGAAAAAGATATGTCTTGAGTTTTAATTTGATAATTAAGGCAAAGAGATTGTTTTGTAGAGCAATAGAGAGTACAGAAATGAATGAACTAGAAGCTGAATCAAATAGTTAGATGCTGACTTCCATCAGTAAACCAGAATCTTCCTAATTGATTTGCATAGTATGAAAAATGCAAAAATCAGAATGATTTGTATGATTTTGGCTGATCTCAATTTAATATCTGTTACTGTTGTGATCATATTTCTAGGCTTCTCCAGTGACAGTGATCTGATATCTCTTACTGTTGATGTGGATTCTCTTGCTGAGGTAGATGATGGAATGGCTTCCAATCAAAATTCTCCCGTTAGAACTTTTGGTCTCAATCTTTCTTCGGATTCTTCAGCACTGGGGGCTGTTGCTTCTGACAGTGAACCGAGCAAAGCAGAAGAAGAACAGGGGAGCCGCAGCCTCTTTCCTGGCAGTTTAAAACACAAACTTGGCAAGAGAGATTATTTGGAGAAAGCAGGAGAATTAATAAAACTGGCTTTAAAAAAAGAAGAAGAAGAAGACTATGCAGCCGCTTCTACTTTTTATCGGAAAGGAGTTGATTTACTCCTCGAAGGTGTTCAAGGTACCATTTTATCTATTTTAATGTGTTTGGACATGCTCGGATGTTGGTATTCGGGGGAGAAGGTATATGCCTTTATCATCTTTAGAATCCTCTATAGAAACAAGACTTATAAAGAGAAATTGTTGAAGCTGCTATGACCTTCTGATGAATATATACTTTTAGTTATGTGAGATGTAAATTTCAGAGGCCTTTAACTCGGACTTCGGGTAGTTCATTACTATAAACAGGATTTCTTTTATATCAGCAAGTTTCCACTCTTTTATATGAATGCAGTTTGTGTTTCTCTTGATTTGGCAAGGATTTTTTTTTGTACATTTACTCTTGATAACTTAGAAAGACAAGCATGCGATGGGCTTCAGACTGAGGGTGTAAAGGTTCTTTGGCTTTGCCCGCCATTCTTTTCTGTCCTTTGGGTACAGTAAGGTCCTCAGCTCATTCATTAATGGAGGTGATATGGGATATGTATAGAGCAGAATGTTTTAAAGTTGTACTCTTTTAAAAATATCGTCAGATTGTTCTTTGAGTCATTTATCATTTTATCATAAAAGCAAACTGAAGCACGTGGCAGTAACATGGTGTATTGGACACAAAACTCAAGGGTTGATGTGACTCTCTTGTAGCCTGTTTCTTTCCAAAAAATCATCACAGTTTTCAGTGTTGTTCTGTGGTCTTCAATTAGTCAGCATCCTTCAGAACACCACAGTTTCCTGTACTAACATCTTACCACAGTTCTCCCCCTCACCCCACCGCCCCTGTGCTTGGTGTCCTGTCGTCCAGCAGTCTTGTGCTTTATTCTTCTTGGAGTATAAACCTTCAGTCTTACAATGGGCTGAGATAAACTTGCGCGTCTGGCTGTAGGGAATGGAAGGGGGAATATGTGCATGCTTGGTGGTGATGCCGCTGCTAAATGCTTCGTGATTTGGGGGTTTAACCAGTTATCTCTCTGTCCACAGGTCAACTTAGTGCTGTCAGGCCGGAACTTTGAGAGAGTTTTTACAGTGCTTTGTAAAGCAGGCCACTCTCTCGAGTTTCCCATGTTAGTAATCCTCATCCATTTCCTTTCTGTTGTCTAAGATTTTGTTGCTCTTGTGTTCTCTACCAGTTCCTTTGTCCTTGTGGGGTTTAGTCTAAAGAGGAAGGTGGCTTTCACTGTTAGGCTTATATGGTTGCAGAGGAAGCATGGTTATTTATGTGTGTTCAATCTACCATCTGGGATTTAGATTTCACCTTGGCTACCTACTTTGTTCAGTATGGGGATCAAAAACTACTGGTGCTTTGTGTTTTTGTACCAAAAAAAGTCCTTAGAATCCTATTGTGTGTGTTTTATTTTTGGTGGTAATTGTTGTCTACTGAAGTTGGTAGTATATTCCTTTGGAACCTCTTACTACATAGTTGCAAATAATTGATTGTAGGGTTAATTTCTCATTAATTTCAATGTCTTCCAAGCAGTTACATATTTTTAGCTATTGCTTTTCAACTTTCTAATTGATAAGTTAATTCTGATTAGTTAATTTCCTCTCATGGTTTTTTTTTTTCTTTTTTAAACATTTTATTAGGGGCTCATACAACTGTTATCGCAATCCATACACACATCAATTGTATAAAGCGCGCTTGTACATCATTCTCAACACATTTTCTCTCCACTTAAACCCCCGACATTAGGTCCTCATTTTTCCCCTCCCCCCTCCTTCATGAGCCCTTGATAGTTTATAAATTGGTATTCTGTCATATCTTGCCCTGTCCGACGTCTCCCTTCCCCACTTTTCTGTTGTCTGTCCCCCAGGGAGGAGGTCACATGTAGTTCCTTGTAATCGGCTCCCTCTTTCCTACCCATTCTCCCTTTACCCTCCCTGTTTCGCCACTCACACCACTGGTCCTGTAGGGCTCATCCACCCTGGATTCCCTGTATTTTCAGTTCCTATCTGTACCAGTGTACATCCTCTGCTCTAGCCAGACTTGCAAGGTTGAATTTGAGTCATGGTAGTGGGAGCGGAGAGGAAACATTTAGGAACTAGAGGAAAGTTGTATTTCTCATCGTAGTTACATCGCACCCTGACCCTCTCATGGTTTTATTGGTGTATCAATTTGATCCTAATTTTATTTTTTAAATGGTTTTATAGTCTGTTAGTTTGATTGCTTGCTTGCTCCATAGAGCATTCTTATGTTAAAGATCTACTCAGTTTATGTTTTCTCTTAACTCCCTTTTGGGATGAGTTGGAAATAATATATGTATGTATTTTTCTCCCCTCCTCTCCAATAATTATGTGCTAAAATATTAGTGCGGCATTTTTCTGTCTAAAAGTTATTTCCACTTAACTTCAGAACACTTCATTATGCTACCACTTGATGGCACCAAAAAAATAAAAATCTTTGCTGTAAATTGAGAATTATGAATGTATATCAGCAAATAACAAAGAACTTATCAGTTAGTTAGTTTGCTGATTATGTTGGTTAATTATTTCTCCATTAGAACTTGATACCGAACCGACTAGATCTCTTCTTTAGAATATTACCAGTTAAGCTTATTCCTCCTGGTTAAGTTACAGCTGTCTTCCTGAAGCTGCAATCTCCAACTGACCTGAGGTTGTTTTGTTGTTAAATGCTGTTAGATTAAATAATAAATAATAATCATAATAATTTGCCTCAATTTTTTATTGTTGATTGATGATGTAGTCACCTTTTATTGATACAAACCATGAAACCACTATCATAAAAATAAACAAAAACAAAAACTCATTGCCATTGAGTCAATTTTGACTTTTTAAAAACCAGTATGTAAAACCATTACTATTTAAATCCTCATGGCTATACATCTTTCTCCTGCAAAGCAGCCGGTGGGATTAAATGACTGAATTTGTGGTTAGCCAATCAGTGCTTACCCAGTAGTACCACCCAAACCCCAAACCCAAAATTCCCTGCCATCCAGTCGATGCTGACTCATCACCAACTGGCAGAAAGAGACACTATCCCTTAGTTGGCGGGGAAACTTGGGTTGTTGCATGTGAATGTGGTTTGACTTACTTTCTTTGGGAAAGTTTCTTCTAGTGTCCCAAAATCGTTATTGAAGCTTGTCTATAACCAGTAGCACTTACAAGCTGTTTTAGGCCATTTTAGTCAAACGTAGCTGTAACAGTTGTTACATGTGGCCTTGATTTGGGTTGGCATACTTTATAGAATGTCCCAATATTTGCTAATCCAGAAAAAAAAATCTTCCAAAATGAAGTATGGATCTTTATGCAGGGGTTCTTTGGAGTTGGCAAGTTTTGTTTTTTCACTACTAACCAGCTATTTGAATATGGAAGCATCCTATCCGATTCATCTGATAAAGATGACCTGATTTTTTTCCTTTTTAAAATGGCATTTGTCCAACTGATACGAGATGCACAGCACAACAGAAGCAGTTCTGTTTACCTATCCAGCAGTGAGAAAGCACACCCTCATAGAAAATCATCCTAGCATACCGACACAGAAAAGGCATAGCAACTTCGCCTTTTCCTTTTTAACCTGGTGCTTAATTCCCTTGATGTAGAAATGGCTCTTGAAGTTAAGGTACCTTCCACTTGCATCAGTCCTCAGGTGAGTATGGACTTAAGAGAGAGTACAAGCATCAGGTTAAAGGAATCATCTTGAATGTTTAAAGAGAATGTGTAGGACACATCATCCTTGTACAACTAGAAGTGGCTCAATTAATCTGTGCTTGCAATGTGAGTGTACTGCAATAGGTGCGATAACATAGAGGGGCTAATGGATGACATAAAGGTCTTCATGGAATGTTTAAATAACACAGCTACCAATTTATTATCTGTTACATGGCTGTCAGTGTACCAAGAATTTTTCTTAGATTTTTAACCTTCAAAACAGTCCTATAAAACTATGACTGGTCGTACTGGGCACCAAAATTTAGAGGGAGAAACATTTAATATAACAATTTTAAAAGCTTGGCACCTAGTTAGCACGAATAATTATTTAAAACGGGAAGCTACCAGATGGCGAGCATTGTTAGTAGCACCCATCTGTGGGCTGCATTATGAATTAAAGAGTTTATTTGAGAGCTGGTTTTGTATAGCTTGTTCCAGGTGCCAAATTTGCTGGGTTGCTATGTTTGTAAGGTAGATATTCTAATTCCCATTTTACAGGTGAAGGAAATGAAGACACATAAAAATTAAGCAATTTGCTCAAGGACTTACAGGCCAGTAAGAATTTGAGCCAGACTTTAAAGTTAAGATCCTTCTGAGCTCCAATTTTGTCCTCTTTCCATTATGCCCTGCAGCTTCTCACACATTTCCCTCAGATTAGGTTATGGAAAACCAACAAACCTCTAGTATGAATCATTTCAAAACCTTATTTTGAATACTCATTTTTGTTCCTTTTATTCATTTGACTACTTATCTAGCCAGTTGGTAACTTTATACACATTTTTATTTGTGTATACCAACTATTATAATAATGAATATAAAACATTAAAATATAAAATAAAATTGAGCAACAGCTCTTCAAATGTGAGTTGTTTCTGTCAACTCCATAACACGTTAATGTGACTGAATGATATGTTAGGTGCAGCCGGGTTGGTTCCAATTCATACTGTGTATAATGAAATAAAACCTTGCCTGGTCTTACATCATCCTCACAAACATTGCTAATATTGTTGTCATTGTCCCAATTTACCTCATTGAAGCTCTTCCTCCCTTTTCACTGTTAAGTAAGCATTGGACTGCTGGGCTGCTAACCATAAGGCAAGCAGTTCAAATTCACCAGCTGTGTTAGGCAGGGTTCTCTAGACAGACAAAACCACAACACACACATATGGATAGCTTTATAAAGCTAGAAGGAATATAACAGCTAATTAGTCTACACAGCAGTCTATGGGGGAGTTAGTTCAACTCACTTTCATGGAACAGCTAATATACTGAAAGTCCTTCAACTCACTTGGGCTGCCAGCTTCAAGGTCAACAAAGCAGACTGTGGAGTCTTCCCTCAGGCAAGACAGGCAGAGTCTGACC